TTTTTTTTTTTTTTTTTTTTACAAATATTGGATATTTTCACATGAATTCTTAGAACCCAGTATCATTTGCTGGCTGGTTCCATTTACGAAGTCTTCCGTAGTTTGTGAAAATCATTATTGAAAATATGGTGATTGGACAAATGTGGTACATCCATTCAGTGGAATACTACTCAGCAGTGAAAAGGAGTGAACTCTTGATAAATGCCATAATCTGGGGGCGTCTCAGAGGCCTCATGAAGAGTGAGAGAAGCCAGTGTCAAAGGCTGCACGCTGTGTGGTCCTGTTTTTATGTCATTCTCAGAACAACAAGGCTGCAGGCAGAGCACAGGTTAGCATTTGCCAGAGTGGAGGTGGGGCGAGGATTTGACGTGAAAGAAATAGCACACACAATGGTTTTGGGTGATGACACTGCAGTGTGTCCTGCTTTTAGCCACACAAGTCTATACCTGTGTGAACATTTATAGAATTGTACACCAAAAAAGTCCATTTTACTGCATGATCGTTTGAAAAATTAAAGTAAAAACCACAGTGATGATGATGGTAACTAACATTCATTAAGTGGTTCCCATGGGCCAGGAACTACGTGGAAGGTGCTGCTCACAGTCTTCCCATCTCACCCCCACGACCTCCCTGCGAGGCCAGTGCCGTGGCTGCTCCCTTCCGCAGACAACGAAGCTGAAACACACGATCATTAAGGAACTTGCCCCAAAGCATACAAGTGACACGTAGCAGAGCCAGGGTTTGAACCGAGGCAGCTGGCTCCGCGGGCTCCTCGATGTAGTGACTTCATTCGTCAGGGTGATGGTAAGGGTCTGAGGAAAGCAACTTTCTCGTTGCACAGCAACTCTGTTAGCTCCAGAGACACAGGCGGGGGCGGGTCAGGGACGGGCTCCTGGCCCCAGAGCTCAGTAGACGAGACATTTCCCTGAGCTCTGTCTAGGGCGGCCTTTCACTCGAGCTGTCTCACTGGGTCTCCCAGTTACGTGAAGTGTGTGCTCCCATCACAGAGCCGAGGAAGCAGAGCTCAGTGAGGGCGATAAGCCCGGGCTCCGCATCGCGTCCCTCTTGTCCCCTCCTCCACGCTCCACTGTAGCTGTTGCAGAGGAACTGACCACCTCAAAACGCAACGGCTTAAAGCACTGGCTCTTCTGATACCTGCCACATTTCTGTGGGAGTGGGCTCAGCCGAGCGGTTCTTCTGCTCCGTGTGATCTTGGCTGGGGCTGCCGTCATCGGGGGCTTGACTGAGCCCGAACAGCCAAGGTGGCCATTTGCGTGGCTTCGGCTCTCGGCGCTGGCTCTCAGACGAGAGCTGAGCTGGGTGGTCACCTTGGTTCTCCGTGTGGCCTCTCCCTGTGGTTTGGGCTTCCTAGAGCGTGGTGGCTGGAATCCAAGAAGCAGTGGTTCGAGAAGCAGGGAGTGGAAGCTACCAGTCCTTTTAAGTCCTGGGCTTGCAGTTCTTAGCACGATCCTTCTGCCACACTCTGTTGGTCAAAGCCAGTCCTGAGGCCAGCGCAGCTCCGGAGGGAGGGGAGGAAAGCTGCCCCTTGTTGCGAGGAGGGGATCCTGGGGCCACCTTTGGAGACTTGCTCCCCCACACCCCCATTAGAATTGACTGAGCACCTACCGTGG